TGCAGAGTAACAGTCCTAGTCAGTGTGTCCTCTCCTTACAGCTACAGTAAACGTCTGGGAAACTGATGGGGCAAACTCAGATCACATGCTTGGCCTGTGGGGATTTCTGAGGAGAGGCTGGCAGAGAGAGAGAGAGAGGAGAGAGAGAGAGAGAGAGAGAGAGGAGAGAGAAGAGAGAGATTCTCCAAGGGAAGAACTGAATAACCACAGGCATTTTTGCTGTTATACAGACTACCTGTATTAGCCACTACCTTTGACTTTCTGGAATGCTTCCAACACTACCATGGGTCAAAATTAAAGGATCCCCTCCACCCTGGAGGAGTGGTCACTGTACTCATTAAGAACCACTGGGAAATAGCCATAGAGGCAGTGCTTAAGTCTTGGGTGAACACATGTTAACTTCTTTGTTGATAATTTTAGACTTAGAAAAAAGCTACAGAAATAATATAGAAAGTTTATCCTGGCAACTGGAAAGATGGCTCGGTGGTTAAGAGCACTGGATGCTCTTACAGAGGACCCAGGTTTGGTTCCTAACATCCATGTAGTGGCTAACAACTGCTCTAACTCCAGTTCCAAGGATCCAATACCCTCTTCTGGCCTCTGTGGGGATTGCATGCACAGGTGCACTAACATACATGGAGGCAAACACCCACCACAAAAAATAGAAATACATAAAAAATGTATTCTTCAAACGCAGCTTTCCCTAAAGTACGTTTATGTAACCACAGTAAAACTGCTGAGAACGGGGAGCGTAGCACTGTCAGCGTGCAGCCTGCTTGAACTTCTTGTCTTCTTGTTTTTGTCCCACTCTTTAACCCTTTGTCCCACGCTGTGTGGTTCTGGTGTCTTCTATGCCCTGCCCTGTCTGTGACAGTTCTGTGCTTCCTTGAGGCTCGAGGCCCTCGCACTTGCTCATTCTGTAGCATGCCTTGTCATCTGGACCTCGCTGAAGTTTTCTCTTGGTTGACCAGGGCTCTGCATTTGTGACAGCACCCAGACCCCTGTCCTCAGCACAGCCCACCTTCACAGATGACGTTTCCCTGAACACCTGGTTAAGTGCTTCCATTCAAAGCTCTTTCCTTTGTTATTGAGGGAGCTCTTTGAAGGCTTCAATAAGCTCTCCTAGAATTTCTGCTCCCTGGCTTTAGACTCTTGCAATAGAGCTTGCCCAAAATGATCCCTGTACTGTTGGCAGTGATGGCTTCTAGGTCTTAGTTACATTTACATCAATTACTTGTAGTTTTCCTATAAGGAAAACACTCCTCTTGCTTATTTAGTAAGTTACTTAGAGCAATTTTATCAATTTTAATATAATGCCATCAGTATTTTCTTGCTCACATTATGCCAGCTTTAACCATTAGTTTCTTTAGGTGGGGGTCTATGTTCTTCCAGATACCTATTTTCTGGCCCCACAGGACAGTGTCAGCTCATCTTACATGCTTCCCAGTCCAGCACTGCAGTTGGCGTCCCCAGACTGTTCCCTGTGTCAGAGAATGGCATTAGAAGTAGTGTGGTCAGTAGGGCTCTCACTGCTGTTGGAGTACCCTAGGCTGTCTCAGTGGACACGGCTAAGAGATAGGGATACCCAGGCCACACATACCTGTATTTGTCTCTGCACTGAGAGCTAGTCCTCAAGAGTACACGTGTGCTCCAACAGTGTTTGAATGTCTGTGCTTTCCATAATCTTGGCCTGTAGTACCTTCCATTTATCTGTCCACCTAGTCAATACAGATTGCAAACCATTGTCCTGTGAGACAGACTTGCTGACTGGCAGACAGCTTTAAAAACAGGGTTACTGTTGTTCTTTAGCCTTAAAGAATATGACAAGAAGTTTCTGAGCTGACTTGGGTTTGTCTTCTTGTCCTTCAGAATAATTAGATCACACGTTTGCTTTTTGTTGGGGAGGGGGTTGTTTGTTTTGAGGCAAGGTTCCACTATGTATATAGCTCTGACTGGCCTGGGGTTCACTACATAGATCAGGCCGGCTTCAGACTCAGAGATGGATGATGCCTCTGCCTCCTGAGTGCTGAGATTAAAGGCCTGTGCCACCACGTCTGGCACTTTACGCATTTGTTAGAGCGTGCGGCGGGTCCCTTCAGTTTCCATGTGTGGAACTTGGTTTTCCGCACTAGCTCTGGATAGAGGTGACTTTTGCTCATCTTTATGGTTTTGGGGTATTTTTGTTTTCACTTCTTGACTGTTTGGATAGTAGCTCTCTGGTAATTTTTAGGCCTTCGGCTGTCTCCCTCCTCTTTCTCCCCGTTTTTCTCAGTCTGCATCTGCCCTCCACTTAGCTCTGGGCTGACAGAGTTGGGTAGGACTGTGAGGCTGTCCTGGGTATTCGATGCTTTTCATTTTTTTCTTTTACTCAGTTGTGTGCAGCTCTTAAAATTCTCCAGGGATGCTTAGCCCATCATTTTCTCTCTAATATACCCCAAACTTCTTGAGGTTTCTGCATTTTCACTCAAGGGCATTTGAGGAAGGCATTCTCGGCTGCTTGCTAGCCCTGAGTGTTGATTTTAACAGCAGCATTCTTGAGGGATTTGAAAATCTGCTTCTGATGAGGTCCTAAGATGCTGTTTCCTAGTGCTTATCTAACAGCTATGCAGTTCACGCTACCAAACTGTTACTGCTTATGAAGGGTTATTTACAGGTTACTTCACAGCACTAACTCACAGTGACAGTGCCGAGAGTCTGGCCTCCTGCTGGCTGCTGGGGAGCAAGGACCACCAGCCTTCCGTCCTCACCCAGATGAGTGGCAGACTGCACAGGTGCCCTTCCTGTCTGTACGGAAGATGCCCTGTCCCTGGGTACGCAGTGTCTTTTTCTTCTGGCTTCTGTTGGTTGGATATGTGCCTTAGGGCATTTTCCTTGATTCTTGTGTTTGTGGTTGGTCAGTATTCCTGGTTTAATTGGTGTATGTATATGTGTGTCTGTGGACAGCTGAGGGGAGCATATGTGCACATGACTGCGGGCGCCTGCAGAGGCCAGAAGACATAGGGTCCATGGATCCGGAGTTACAAGCATTTGTGAGCCATCTGACAGAGTTTGGGAACTGAACTCGGGTCCTCTCCAACAGCAGCAAGTGCTCTGAGCTCTCTTTCCAGCCCCAATATTCTTGGTTTTAGAGACGCGTAAGTGCTCTAGCTCCTTCGTCTTCATGCATCTCACACACATGCATGCTTCCTCAGGACTCTGATCACATCAGTTAGGCCACTGGAGTGCTCTCATTCTGTGCTGCTTTGTGTGATGTCAAGGTTATGTGGGAATCTTGGTCATAAGTTCCATCATGCCTAGACTGGCCTTCTAACCTCCTGATACTTAAGGCTGCACCAGCACTCTGCTGTTCTGGGTATTTTGGTTTGCGTCTGTGGTGGTAGGATTCCAAGTTGCGTGTGAGCTCTTAGGTTCCTTTCCTGGCCATGGGCTGTCCTTCATGTGGGTGTGAAGCTCTGCCCTCTGGATCTCCCAAGCACATCCTCCTTGCAGCTCTCTCTTCTCCAGTTACTCTGCCTGGACCCTGGACCCTGGACCCTGGCTGTCCTCTCCTTTCTGGACTTGGTGGTCTGGACTTGGTCGTAGGCAGGCCCAGGCTCAGCTCCCTACACACCCATGGTCCAGGGGCAGTTGCTGCCTCTTATATTTTGTCCATTTTATCCCTTTAAGGCAGTAGGGCTGAATACGCTCACAGTTTTCAACGTGAGAGAGAAGCTAATTTAGCAGTTCCTTTGTCATGGCTCTGAGTCAAGCCTTGTGTCAGTCATGAACTGTGGTTCTGCACAGATCATGTACTGCCACCATGTATGCTCAAGCAGTTGACCTCTTCCCTCTGCCGGTGTTGGACCTGGTGTCAAAACATGGACGCTCCCTGGAAGAGGAGTGATTTAATGCTGCTTATTACCAATTAGAAAGACAGGTGAGTCTAGGATGTACGGGCTAGCTGCCGACCTGTGACCTATCAGCAGGGGCTTGTGTAGAGCTGCCTCCCTTCTCCAGCTGTGGAGAGGGAGAAAGTCGTGATTGCTGGGGTGTCTCGGGCAGAATGACAATAAGAAAGTCACCCTCCACATCTGCCGACTGCTAGTTGACCACGTGCCCTCGCCGACTGACCGGTGCCTCCTCAGGACATCTGCGGGGTCAGGTATGCAGGCTGCGGAGCAGGAGTCCGCACCCAGCCAGTCCTGGAGGAAGGTGGCCGGCTCGGCCCTAAGGGTTCTGGGCGGCCGGCAGGTGGCAGCCGCCTCCTAGCTGCTGGGTTGGTTCTCCGAGCTGCACCGCATGTCGGTCGGCCGGTACTGCAGCCTCCACCACAGCCGGGGCCCGTACTTGGCCATTGCTGGAGCCACCGGTGAAGCCTGAGCCCAGGCCTGCTGGGCTAGCCTCGGCTACTGCCTCACTTCTGCCTCCAGGTCAGGGCTTTCTCCACAGCCTACTCTCGGCCAGGCTTCCGGGCATCGCAGTGTCACCCGCCCTGGTGTATTGGTACCCACACACCCTACCAGTATCCATCCATTCTGCGTGTGGTCAGCCAGTCGGCAGAAGTGGCCAGCCCCGACGGAAAGCTGTCACCGTTCTGCCCGGAAGTTCCTGCTGTCCCTGGGTTCTGGATCCGAACTTCGCTGGAGACCCTCCTGGCCTCTGCTGGCCTGCCCCAGCCAGCTCGCCAGTCCAGTGCGGCCACCTGCGCCCCTACGGCCTGTTCCCTCAGGTTTCTGCCGGCCGTCCCCGATGCCCACGCCCCTCTGTTCTGCAGACCTTGGCAGGGTTGTCCTGCCCCCACCGGGCCCAGGCACCTGGCCCTGGAGGGAGGGGGCGATGTAGGCAGACCCCCCGGCAAGTGGCCGCATCCAGCGGAGGAGGGCGAGGCGGTCTTCCCCGGTTTAAAGCTGCCCGTTGGTCCTGCAAGCTCTTGGGGAGGCGCTGCCCAGGCTCCGCGCACACCCAGGCCCCGCAGGTGCCGCCGGCCGCTTCCGCCCTCCGCCCGGGAGCAGCAGTGGGCCGGGGCAGAGCTCGGCGGTGCGCGGACGGCGCGGGACTCGGTGCTCGCCATGGCCCGCGGCCTGCGCGGCCTCCCGCGGCGCGGCCTCTGGCTGCTGCTGGGTGAGTAGACCTGGGGCTCCCGCGGGCGCCGAGCGCACGTCCGCCGTCCCCAGGGGCTCCGCGCCGGTGCGGCTTCTGGAGCCGGCGGGCACGGACGAGGCGTCCGGAAGGCACCACAGGGCAACTTGCTTTTGGTGGGGGCGGGGAGGCCGGGGACGGGGACGGGGGCGCGGGGTCCTCTGCCAGGCCCTGGGTCGGGGCTCCCAGCTGTGGGTAACACTGGCGCAGCTTCCCAAGCCACACCTTGCAGATGTGCCCAGCAGTCAGCCACAGCTCACGTACCTGGACAGTGGCCAGAACTGGACATGTCACCTACAGCAGTCGCTTCTTTACGGGTTGCCCTTTGCGAAAACGAGGCCGGCCCTCTTCCTTGTGGAGACCTTTCCATAGCGTTTTGTTTGCTTGCTTGTTAACACCTGGCTAATAAAAGTTCACAGGTGGCAGAACTTGCTGGGCTTTCTACTTTCAGAGTGTTGGTGAACTGAAACCCAGGGGTGACCAGAACCAGGGCAGATTCAGCAAGAAAGCCCATTTCGCTTCCCTTGTCTGTTACGTGCTCATACGATGCTGTCAAGACCCTTTCTGAAGTGCCGTAGCTTTGGGAGCACTTCATGTGTGCAGCTAGCTTTTAAAGAATAAAGGACGGGCAGTCAGGGGTCCTGTGTTCCTGGGAAGGCCTGTGGTTCAATGGTTCTTTTCCCCCATCTGTAGTGCTGGTCAGAGGCGCCTGCCGCACGGATTCGGGTGCTGGTGAAGGACTGACCACTAGCACATTTGTAGCCAAGGAAGCAGCCTGGCCAGGTCCATGTGGCCTATCCATGGAAGCCGATCCAACATAGCAGGAAGAGGGACTGGGACCTCCCACAAGCCATGCAAACTGTCCCTGGTGTAAACTTGGCCAAGGAGTGCTGGGTCTGCATAAAAATCGGTTTCAATGTAATGTAATCTGAACATGGATCTTGTCATTTAAGTGTTTTAGCTAAACTTATGTGGAAAGCAAAACCTTATACTATTGACAATATTGATGTATTCTGTGTTAAGATCCGTTTGACTTGACATGGAATTTTAGCTTCAGTTTCCTAAGAAATGGAGCATATCTGTGTTAGCAAGGCAGAGAGCTGGTTGGGTAAATTTTTTCAAACTTAAATATAAAGATTCTTCACTGGTGCCCCGAGGCTGCACCCTTTAAGGCGTATGTAAATAGAACCCTGTGTCACAATCACATATAAGAACCCTCCTTGTTACTGAGAAAAAGATCCCGGTTCTGCTGCAAGTCCAAAGTCCTGTGATCTTAACATTACCCTGAGTGGTCTGGCTCATGTTGTCTTGGGAGAGCAAACACAACTTTATGAGGTTATCAGTGAATTAGTGTCCTCGGAGCCCAGCTGTGATGAGCAGAGTCCCTGAGCTCACGCTATGTTCTCCCCAAGCCGCAGCGCTGGCCAGATCTCCTTGGTGATGGTGAGTTCACGATTCCGAATGGCAGCGTGGAAAGGTTTTTTTTTTTTCTTTAAAGTACGCCAATATACAGGACTAAGATCTTATCTGTGACAATTTTGTAAACAACTTATATTTTTCTTATTTGACCTGCTCGGTTTGTGTGCAAGTTGTTAAAATTTCAGCATGTATATGTATTTCCCTCTGAGTGCCCTGTGTGCTGTTGTGTTTGTAGAAGCCCCTCGCGTAAGGCCATGTGCATGCTTTACAGTTCATGCGTAATTATCCGAAAGCTTTTCAGCAGTCCGAAAAGAAGGTACTTCCAGATGAGCGGTTATCCCTTGGTGACACCAAGCTCCTGTTTTTGCAAGCTTCACTTGGGCACCCGAGCTGCTGGCATGGTCAGCTCCTGGCTCTTTGGTACTGGAAAATGTATGTCTTATCTGTCATGCTGGGGCCAGGGGTTGGGCTATATAAATTTGTATACCTGCAAGTGGAACTGGAGCATCCTGGGAAATGCAATGTGGAGCAGATGCTGTCTGTATCTGGATACAGCTCTAACCCTGGAGTCTAGATCCCAGGACTCTCACTAATCGACTCAGAGTGCTTGTTTGCTGTAACTGTGTGCTCAGCAGCAGGAGAGCGTCTTGGCGGTTTTTGTCTCACTTCCCTGCACTTATGCCCATCCCATGTGCACTGCCAGTCCAGCCAGGGCTGTGGACCAGCATTTCCATCCACATTGGATGTGGCAGCAAGCGGCGCCATCGGGAATCATTTAAGTGGAATCCTTACTTAGGGCAAAAAGCCCATTGGAAAAATATCTTGTGATTTCCCCACACACACCCCAGAATGAACTAATTTCATAGTTTCTGATCAAGTTAAAACTGGCATCTGGCAGAGGGTGTGATGTGGGTGCCACATGTGGTATGAATTCCAGTGAAATGCTGAGCCAGGAAGTAGTTTCCTAAGGGCTCCCTCCCCCAGCCAGAGCCCATCCTCTAAGCTCAGGGCTGTGCCTTCAATGGGACGCTGGCTACTGGGATGGCCCTGGGCTGGACAATCAGCTTTCTGCTGGGCCTGGAAAAGGCAGGTTCTCTTTTGCACAGTGAATGTATCCCGAGTGCCAGCTGCCCCCTTGCAGACTGCAGGCCACAGGCTGCTCCCCAGTCCATGAAGCAGAGGAACAGATGTGTTCCCGAGATCTTTCAAGCCCCTAGTCAGAACCTGCCCCAGGAACCCATCACGTTTGAGCAAAATGTCCACCCTTTACCTGTTGCATAGCTCAGAGCTCATACGGTGTCAAAAAAAAGGGGGTCTGGGTACCACTAAGTAGCCCTCCTGGCTGTCCCACAGAGCACCAGACACAGCCCACTCCTGTTTCAGAATGATCCAGCCCCAAATGTCCACAGTCCCAAGGTGAAGAAATACCCCAATTTGACCATACAGTTGGCCTTCTGTCCTCACATCTATCTGCTACAGCCAGCCCTATGTTCACAGTGCTTTTAGGCCGAGGATGGTGTCCCACATCTGTAATCACAGTATTCATGAGGCTGAGACAGAGGGATTACAAGACAGACCAGCTTGGACTACATAGGGAGGCCTTGTCTCAAAAAAATCAAAATGTATCAACAAACTAACCAAACAAAAAAAGACTGTAGGGCCGGGGAGATGGCTCTTGCCTCATAAGAGTGAGGACCAAAGTGACAATCCCCAGAATGCATAGCTCAAAGGTCTGGAATCCCAGCACTCTTATGGGGAGACAGGAGAAGCCCCAGAAGCTCTCGGGCCACCTAGGCGGCTGTATGCGGAAGAACAGCAGGTGCCCTCTCAGCCGAGGTAGAAGGTGAGGGCCAATACCTGAGGTTGTCCTCAGACCTCAGTGTATACTGTGGCTGTAGAGAGACAGTGGGAGCATATCTGGGGTGGTGCAGCTCTGGGGAGCTTGGGCACAAGGAGGGATGTACAATGGCCCTGGCTTGGGAAGCCATGTTGACTAAAGCTAAGGAGGGGCTTTGAGCCACTCAGGCCGGTCCTTCAGGAAGGCTGGTCCTGTAGCTTCAGTTATGATTCTGAGGACAGTGGGAGTTTGAAGGAAATGTAAGGACTGACATGAGTAGTGGCTTAGAAGAGACCTGGGCTACACACCATGAGGCTGTGGGTACTGGAGCTGGCCAGACCAGGCGAGGACAGTGGGTGGATAAGGATTCTGGGGACCCCCAAGGTAAAGGTGAAGGACAGGAGCCCAAACACAAGAGCCTTGGTAAACTAGACTTCTTTTTGAGACAGGGTCTTACTATGCAGTCCCTGGCTGGCCTGGAACTTATTATGTAGACCAGGCTAGCCTCAAAGTCACAGAAACCTGCCCATTTCTGCCTCCTGAGAGCTGTGATCAAAGGTATATACCACTACCCAAGCTAAACTGAAATTTAGACAGGTGTTCCAGCATAAATATGCATTGTGCAATATTTGAGACAAACTCATTGTTAATAAAAAGAGATAATCTTGAATTTGAATGAATAGGGACTCCTGTCATTTATTTGCTGAGTTTGACAGTTCATCCCTGGCAGCCTGGGGCAGGGTTCCCTGAGAAAACAAGGCTGTGTAGCTAGCTGGTAAACAGGTTTCTGTATAAATCAAGGGTTAATGCACATCCCTGGCAGCCTGGGGCAGGGTTCCCTGAGAAAACAAGGCTGTGTAGCTGGTAAACAGGTTTCTGTATAAATCAAGTGTTAATGCGAAAGAAACATGGCATGAGAGAGACTGAGGGCAATGTCTCTGTCCAGGCAGTGCCAGGGCCTCTGGTAAAAGGGATTCCTTGGGAGAGTGCTGGAGACAGGCCAAGTCCACAAGGGCAAGTGAAAGCCCCAGAGAAAGGAGAGCATCCACAGGCTCTAGTAATAGTGAAGAATGGATCAGGACAGCCCTGGTGCTGGGCATGTTGTCACGGGAGAAGGGAACAGAGCAGACAGTAGGGTCAGAAGTGGAAGGGGATGGATAGCAGACTTGTTCCTTGACTCACCTGCTGCTTGTCTAAGGACGTCAGTTGTTGGACCTTTCGGGTGATGGTGATTTAGTGGTAATGGATTTCATAAGTCTTGAGGAGGGCTCACGTTGAGATCCTCTGTTCAAGAAACTCATTCTTCCTCCCACATCTTCAGCCAGGGCTCCGTGGAATGGCACCGCCTGTAAGTTACTCCTTCAGAGGCCTATGGTTTGGGGTGCTGCTACGATGGACTGCCTTCCTAACTGGCTAAGACTAGGTTAAAAGACATACGCTTTTGTGTCTGTTGTTTACATTTATTTATTTGCATGTATGTGAGGCTATGGGGGGAGGTGTGCCACAGTGCACACATGGAGGTCAGAGGACAGCCTGCAGGAATTGGTTCTCTTTCCACTATGTGGGTCCCAGAAATTGAACTCAGGTCATCTGGCTTGGTAGCAAGTACCTTTACCCACATAGCCAGGCCCCAGAGACACATTTTGCTCCATGTTCTTTGTGACTTCTTGCTCTTTGTGTTTTTGTTTGAGCTCCTCAGCTCAGCTTTTCAAGCAGTTCACTATGC